CAGGAAAGAAAAAACCTCGTCTAAGGTTCGACGAAGCCACAAAGGCTGCGACAAGTGGATGGGGGCTAAAGTTCCTCGTAAGGCTGGCCATGGTCGAGCTTAGATCATGGCACCGCACGGTTGAAAAATGTACGACTGTGACATAGGGCGTGCGACCGGCAGTTCTGGCGTGCAAGTGGCCTTTCGATAGGTTTGTCCTTGACATAGGGCCACTTGCTTGACCTCTCTTCTTCTCCATGCTTTCTTTTGACCCTGGTGGGTTCTTCATTGGCATTCAAAATAGGGTTGACTTTTTACTGCAGAAACATGTGTCGGTAGCCCTGTTTGACCACGTTTTTGACCCATTTTCCATTATTATTTGCTAAAACGGACCACATATTCTTAAAGTAGAACATACATAGATTATTTCTGCATAAAAGTCAAACTATGGTACTTTATAAAAAATATGAGATAAATGCGGTCAAAGTTGTAAGAAAATAACAGAATTCTGTTTTTTGCAGAATTGCGCCCGACGCATTTTTGGAGGGCAATTTGTCAAAACGCACGTTTTGATTAATGAAGGGCAAGGAGGACACTTCCCACATGTTTAAAACCGTGAGTCCAAGTCCAAGTGAGGTGGTTAGGTGAATCTCAACCATTTTCCACCTAAAATGGAGGGGAGTTTCAACCAACCTATGGTGCTATAAAAGGAAGTCATCCACCCCTCAGCAAATCATCCCTTCCAAGCTTCATTTCATCTTCTTTTAGATGCTCTCTAGTTGTAGAACACGTTTTTAGGGTTTACCACTGCTCCTCTAATGAACAACCCGGTTATGATCCAACCAATAATCGGAAGTCCCTCTCGGCCAATGAGAGGGTGGGGCCCCTTGTTCAAGTCTCAGAGTCAGCATTTAAGGGAACTGTCATCTACTCTCCTAAAGTCGGGAGGAGTGAATTGCATCTTGAGAAGTTATGTTCCCAGCTCCCCACTTGGTCTCGTCCCCAAAATGGTAGGAATGTTGAGTTGACGACTCGGGCCACTCTCACCCATACAGATCAAAGGACGAGCCCTCACGGGCAGGAGTCCATAACTCACTCAGGATTGAGAATGAGTTGTCTGGTCATCCTAAGAAATAGAAACCTATTAGTTAACGGTGTTACATCTAAAGATTGCCTATTTCGTGGTCCGGTCTTATACAAACTCATTATATAGGATAGCCTCACTCGCATGTCTCCACACGAATGACCTGGATCGAGTCGTCTGTAACCTTTACAGAGTGAGCCGTATCCATAGTGTTGTCAGGATAAGGTATCCATATACTATAGACCCTTTAGGTTATTCACGGGACATTATCCATTCATATATCAGGGGTATATCAAATATATACCCCGTATATCAACTGTATACCCAGTATATATATCGTCCCGATTACATCAAAATAACCTTGGATGTTTGGTTTATTGGATTTGGACAATGCAATGCTATGTTTCAACAACAAATTTATTGAATAAAACTTTATTAAATATACATTTGTTTTTACATAATACAAACTACGAGTTTAGGGCAACACACCCAACAAAAACATGGTCCTAGACATAGGCCCTCTGACCCATAATGCAAATGAGTTGGTAGATATTCTCTAGGATTGTAATCACACATAGGAATATGATTGTAGGTTACCCTAGTCTGTGCAGCAACCAAAAGTGGTAGTGAAAGAGTAGAACTCAAATCCCAAGAAAAGTCAGGAATTGTGCCTGGTGCACTTTCCCAACATAGTGTGTTTTTCATGTTTTGCATCAAAATGAAGGTAAGAAACAAGGGGGTTGAGTTTCATTAAATTGCTTATTAGTTAAAACCCCAAACGACAACATTTCACTACATTTTTCTTCCTAAATCACAACTGCATATTTGAATCGTTCACTTCTTAAAAACTATTTTGAAAAGCCAAGTCCTTAAGGATTTGACCTTGGATTACTTCCGAGTATTACTTGTGACCGTGTGCGCTTGCACGAGTCTTTAATCTTTTTAAAGGTAGAGAAAATCCCAACAGTGTCCAATGAAGTCTCCTTCGTTTGTGGGGTCTTTCCTCAAATTCTTCATTCCTTGTTGGTGTAGGTGTCATTTTGGAATGTTGTGCCAAATGTGATCACACCAACTAAAGAAGTTTCCAATACTAGTAAATCATATTTAGCTTCGTTGGCTTTCTTATTTTCGACCAAGTATTTCAGGTAGTTCCGCTTCCAATGCCGTCCACGTTGTAGTGTAAACACTTTCCCTTGTCTGCAACCTTGGTCTTACCTTTCTTGGCAGCGGTAGTAGTAGAGTCAAGGTTGGGCCCCTTACCACCACCCTTCTTCTTCTTGAAAGGCTTACTTCCAGAAGAAGAGGGTGCAGATTTTGTTACAGAGGTTGAACCTCGGTGGAGCCTTTTGGAGGTTGCAACATTTGCCTCTCTCTTCTGTCCCTTATTTTTCATAAGTGACTGGTAGGTCTGCAGCTCGTTTAAGAGCGTGGTAAGAGTGTACTCCAGTTTATTCATAACTGCATTGCTGCGAAATTGCAGGAAAGTCTTCGGAAGAGATTCTAGAATGAAGCTGACCTGACTCTACTCGTCTATGATGGCCTCATTCGTCTCCGCCATGTTGAAGTGGATCATCAGGTTGAGAACGTGTTCTCGCACTGACAAGCCCTCCTTCATGCAGGAGTTATAGACGAACTTAAGGACTTCATGTTGAGCCTGTGAGGACGATTGTCCAAACATGCTCTGCAACGAGTCCATGATCTCCTTGGCAGTGACCATATTCTCGTGCTTCTTAGCAAGCACATTAGATATGCTCGTCAATATGTAGACCTCGGCCTTATCATTTGCCTTGATCCACCGATCATAGAATTTGTGCACCGCCACAGTGGCGTCAAGCGCAGGAGCTAAAGGACGTTCCTCTTGCAAGACGAACCTAAGATCATTTATTACAAGTATAATGTTTAGGTTCGATTTCAATTGTTTGTAATTCTCACTGTTAAGTTTTTCAGTGGCTAAGAGAGCAATAATAGAAGCGGACATGGTGAAAATAAAAACAAACCTATATTAGTTTCATGCATTATTCTTCAAACCCAATCATATTTTAGCAAAAGTAATCAAGCACCGTAACAAAATTATTCTACAACGACGCTTCAGTGATTTAGAGCAACAACCACCATAGGGCAGACAACTACTCCTTCACTAAATTGAGATGTTTTAAACTAAATCTTACACTAGAATAACTCTTATTCTGATAATAATTAGTCACCGTTTATTTGGTTATAAAATTGATAACTAGCTCAACAATTCCCTGTAAGTGTGGCCCACCATTTTCAGACCTCAAAGGTCCACCCCAATAATCCTACCATATGGAAGGACAATATTGGAGTAAAACCTGAGAGGCTCTTATCCATTTCTGGAGTTTGCCTAGGTTTCTATTCTATACAATGGACCATCCATATGGATGATCGCACTAGGACGACACGTACATCATGTATGAAATCTCACGATACAAACTAATGGTAGAGACCGTAGGATGTGTTGTCACACGTCCTTCTCCCACTTACTATGAATACTATCTCCATTCACCTCGATATTGAACCGTGCAAACACCTTCCGTAGGGAGGTCGTGCCTAGGGCGACACGAGGCCGAGCATGTAACTCACATTGTGAATTTGAAGGAGAAACGTGAGAAAAAATGATATGTCATATATATCTTGTATATAAAAAATATACGTAGTATATTACATATTCTCTTTTTCTCCCACCTACTATTTTAAGACTAGGATATATTACTTAGGTAAATTCCGGCTAAGTGAATTTTTAGTTGGCTCAATATAACTATTTATATTGGAAGTTGTACATTAATGTTTTAGTTTATTAAACGTATTAATAAACTAACATTATTGCATGGATATAAAATATTGACTAATTCAACCTCCAAGTCGGTTCCCAAGTAGAGGTATTCCTTTTCGTTCAGCTTAAATACCTCAACTTAGACAGAACCTTGGTTAGACAGGATCCCCTTATAAGCAATATTTTATAGTTAGTCTTTTATTATTTCATTTTAAACCTAGTGAAAACCAAGGTTCAAAATGTCGATGTCGATGGAAATGTCGAGGTCTCGATTTATGGACATGTCGATGTCGATAGATATTTCGAGAAAAATCACAGAAGTTGTGAATATTGATGCAAATTTTTTGAATTAGTTAATAAGACTTTAATTGAAGCTTAATTAGCCCATAGTTGATCACTTTTAACCATAATTTATAAATATATAAGTAATATACTTATGAAAATGTTGTTGCGATCGAAATGTCAAAACAAAACCATGTATACATACATGAAAATTATTTGAATTAGTAAATTAAAGTTCATTTTTGCTTGATTATGTTTTATTGATAATTTCTAATCTAATCTAGTCTTTATTTAGATAATCGAGCAAGATATGTGAAATCTTGATATATAATTTGTAATTAATGAAGTAGAAAAAGTAAATTAAGTAATATAAAAGAGATGATCTTGGATGATTAAGTGCAATATATTGTATAGGAGAAATAAAAGAAAATGATAAAAAGAATTACTTAATATAATTAAAATAAATTATAAAAATAAAACAAATATTAGTAAGAAAAAAATATTACTAGTATCTATCATATATAAAAGAAAAATATTTGTTTTTAAGAAACATGATAGTAAGAGTTTAGTGAAATTTAAAACTAAAAAGTATAAAAAAGAATCAGGATAAACTAAACTAAACTAGGAAAAAAAACTCACTAAAAGTTAGAAAACTTAGAAAATAGAAACTAATCCAAATTGCTTCCAATCCCAGTGTCCCACATCGATTGTGGTTGTGAGAGGAAGGGAACTTCTGTATAAATAGAATACTCCCCTCTCCCCATTCTACATTTCAGACAGTAGGTAGGTGGCTGCGACTCCGCCCACTAAGTATAATTATTTTTTGGGTCCAACAAGTTAAGTTTTTTTTATTATTTATTATTTTTTTATTTCTATAGTTTCAATATTTTCGACGACAAGTCGAAAGTTTATTGATATTTTGGTTAAATTTCGACATGTCGTCAACAAGGGGGGAAAACGAATTTTCCTCCTTGCTTACATGTTGAAGGGATATATGACCCCACCCATAATTGAAATTGGAGTTATGACCCCCTTTTGAAAAAGCTTAATTTGTGAACCCAGCCACCCTTATTTATGACCCATTTCAAAATTTATAGAAGTGAAATTACTTTATTACCCTCATGTTTCAAATTCTACATCTTCACATCCTCATTCTCGGACCCTTCCTCTCCCTACATTCCCAAAAGTAAAACCCTAAACCTATATACTCGAACCATTTGTCTCCCTCCGTTCCCCCAATTCTCGGACTCTTCGTCTCATCCATCCAAAGTGAACATTCTATTTCATCTGTTCCAACGTTTTGCATCCACCATCACCAACCAACATCATCGTTGTCTTGGATCTTGGAGGAAGCGAGGTTATAGGCTCGAATCTTAAAAAATTTTCGTTACTTAGTGTTAGGTTTCCATTTTCGGCGCTATCTGAATCAGTCAATTTGTTTTACGGTAGATTGTAGGGCTCCAGATATCGAAAATAGAATAATCGTTTTTCAGATTCGATCCCGGATTCAATCCTGGACTCAATCCCGTACTCAATCCCGTATTCAATCCCAGACTCAATCCTGGACTCAATCCAGTAAATCGAATAAAACTACGTGAGATAAGAAAATAGTTAACAAAAAAACAAAATAAAATAAAAATTTTGCTTCATCCCGGACTGTCCCGAACCAATCTTGGTCCGGGATTAGTCCGGGAAGTGTCTCGGACCAATCTTGGTTCTAGATCAGTCCGGGATGTGTCTCWGATCCTGTCCCGAACCAAATTGCACCGAGACTGAATGCAGGATAAAATTATTCAATCTCAGTGCAATATAACTTCAATTCCGAATGGAGTATTGATCCGAGACAACGATCTGAACCACGTTTTTTTTTCCAAGAACTTCATTCCAGCAAAATATGTTGATGGAGAAATATTTCAAATAATTTCAACAAATTTAAAGTAAAAATTTTGAAAGTGTAACATACCTAACTTTTCAAAAGTGAAAATGTGGAGACAATGATTTTGGATAGTGTGTAGATAATATGATCAAACACAGTGGACAACAATATTTGTTTGAGAGAATTTAAAAAATAAAAATTTGTTTGTTTTAGAGTTCAAACCATATGAAACATGAGTTTAGAATTTGGTGAATAGGTAGGTGAAAATTTAATGTATCATAAATGTATATTTATTAACTCAGGAGGGTAAATTCGTCTTTTTCCAAAGATAAAAATTTAAAGAGGTCAAACATAAGGGAGGTGGGGTCACAAGTTAGGTTTTTTCAAAAAAATGGTCATAAATCCAAAATCAATTATGGGAGGGGTTATATATTCAAATTTCCCCTATGTTTGCATAGAACTCTTTATTATAAATTTTAATTTCTATCTACCAAAATTTTATAACTCTTATAAAATTAAGAAATTAAACCTATAATTATGCATTGACGACATACATTAATAGAATAATATTTTATAGTTAGTATTTTTATTATTTCATTTTTAACCTAGTTAAAACAAAATAAAAGACTACTCTCTAATCAACCTAATGTCCAATTAATTTTAAACCGCTTTAAAATTAATTAGCTTAGACCCTATGTTTTCATGCAACTCTTTATTATAGATTTTAATTTCTATCTACCAAAATTTTATAACTCTTATAAAATTAAGAAATTAAACCTATAATCATGCATTGACGACATACATTAATATAACAATTATATTAACTAAAGAAATGTCATGCTCAATGCAATTCCATTTTTATGAAATTAATACAACTCTTATATTAATCACACATGAAAATTAAACACAAACATCCATACATTATAACAATTATAACTATATGATGCATTAATATTCATAGATATAATATATTAAAAATACATATGATGAATGTATCATATGGTGAGATTTTAAAACTATATGACATACATTATGCAACATACATTTAATTAAAATTACATTCAAAATGCATAAAATAATTAAATAGTAACTTTCGACCGGTTTTGACATCCTAAACCTTATATTAAATTAATATAAGGGACATCCTAAACCTATATTAAATTAATATAACCAAGACCTTCAGGTGAAGCATCAGAACAGCATCTCAACGCTATGACTCCTTATGCATGTGCGTGAATTGGGGACAACATTGAGATGCCATTGACAACGTCTCAACGCTACAAGGCCCAGTACAATCTTTTTTAGATTATGAACAACGTTGAAACGCTACTTGCAGCGTTTCAATGCTTTGCCTCGGGTCTGCAACATCTTCTTTGATTTCTGCAATTTTTCTAGGCAAAATCTGCTTCCCCGAACACATTCAAACGACACAGACTTTACAGACGTGATTTACAAAGTTAAATGTCCAAAACAACGGGCCTTTACATTGATCAAATCAACAAAATTGTAAATCTAATGCCAAAACCGAAAACACATAAATTGTAAAAACCCATACATCAAAATGCAGGGTAAAAACCCACCAACATTGTGTGTAATTCAAGAGAAAAATTAGAACAGTACATTTGACTCATTTGACTCTGATACCAATTGATGTGATATTAATCCCCAGCGAAAGCGATTTATCGCTTGTGTTCAATTTTTCTTTTGAATTATAAATACAGAAAAGTAAACAACAATATCAAGGAAGGCAAATATGCATAAGAAATGAAGCTATAAAACAGTTATTGGTAGGTAGAGTCTTTCTTGGAGTATGTGAGGTCCAAGAGAAACTTAGAGGATCCTCTCACCAATGTTCGAAATATCGATGTCGATAGAAATTTCTAGGTCTCGATGTTACGGACATGTCGAAAGATACTTCAGGAAAAATTTCTAAAATGATGAAAGTTTATGGATATTTTTTTAATTAGCTAATGAAACAATTTAGGTTACAATTTAACATTTTAAATCATCTTACATAAAGAGAATACTA